TGGTGACATGTTGAAAAGGTGGGCAAAAGCCAGAGGACAAAGCCTATCTCCTTGCTGGTAAGGGCTGGCCCCTCCCAAATCAGGTTAGTGCCATCTGACAGTGACTGGGAACAGATGTAACTGAGGCCGAATGGGGATAGGCGATGGGAATTTTATACTGATTGGGCAGGGGGTTAGACTAGAAGACCTCCAAGGTCCCTTCCAACCTATAATCCTATGATTCATAACTCAAGATAGATAGCTGGCATTTTAATCCAATAATGGGGAAAGGCCCAGTATGCTGGAAGAACAGATAGAAAAAGAAAGTACCCTTCATGTTGGCTAGCATGTGCTTTAGCTCCACCCACTCCAGGCAAAGTAGCTGATGGTGGGTTTCTTTGGGGGGCATGTGGCTCTGAAGAGAAAAGATCTTGCCCACCCCTGACCCATGGAGGAGAGGGTGTCACAAAGACAGCGAGCTCTCCGTACTTCCAGACAGGCTGGAGTCACGTACCCGGCATTTGCACCGCTTCCAAATTGCACAACACTGTAGCCAAAACTCTTCACTGTTTCCCGGAAGACGGCTGGATGTTCAGTATCCACACTGAATCCATGGCATGGGATCAGCACTGTGGGATTAAAATAAAGAGTTTCTTTAGGCTTTTTCTACAGCAAGAAGGGAGGGACCCCACAGAGGACAGGGTAGACTTCAATGTCCATCAGGTGTGTTTGCAACCAGCCATGTTGTATATGGGGCTGCATGTAAAGATCAGACTTGTTCAGCTCTCTGCAATCACCGCCAACAGGAATCAGAACTTCTGTACGTTTGATAGTTGCATAAGAGTGCAACAGAAGCCTTGTAGGTGAGCCATCCCACATCTCAGCACTAGCAATCAAAACGGCAGCTTTGTTAGGCAGGCAGTTGCATCTATTCCTATCTGATTTCTATGGTTCTTTTTTCATCTATTCATGAACTCTGGTCAGGAAGGCAAAAGGAGGATCAAGATCACCTCTGGGGAAAAAAGTGCTATCAGCTACAACCACATTATACCTTATTACATATTATCAGCACATTACAACCACAAGAAAGACACCTCCCCCCCCCCC